TCTATCATTTTAGGTATACTGCAGGTAACAATCTCCCAGGCTGCCAGGTTCGTCCTTCCATATGTCGCACTAAGTCGAACGATTTATTTTAATTTTATGTTAGGTATGTATTTCATTTTCTTCAGTGGCGTGAGATTTACACTTAATCCTCTACCGCCCTAAATATCACCCCCAACCCAACATCATCTACATCCTACTCATGTAGGTGCGAAAATGTATAACGGACTGCTTCATTAGGCAGGTAAATGTCTTATGTAATTGGCCTGAGTGAGCCTTGGTGTCTAAATCGACTACAATAAGTATTCCTTAAAATATGTCTCTGCCGCTTACATTAGGTATGTATCCAGGTTGAAGGCGTAACACCACTTTAATACCATCTCTTCTCGTTTCTTTGATACAAGACTGTCTTTCTCTTACCTGTTAGCCTAGGTGGTCATCATCACTCGTTGGCCACCTAATCAAGTGCCATTGGAACCAGCCCAAAACATCTGATGGCATCTCATCCTATATCATCTCGCCGACACTTTCGTCAAACGGCGAACCAACCATGCGGGACAGCCTACGTACCTGTCGATCGGCCGCCAACGTACATTAGCTTAACTCCTTCCAACTTCGCAAAAGCTAACTAGGTAGTTTCAGTTGAGCTATCGTGAAGTTGTTGAGGCTCCATGTTTCGGAGTTAAGGCGCACAGTATTTGGCTATGAAGAACTCATCCACGTCATCGTCATGAAGACCACTCGCTGATTATATGGATAATCAAGACGAAGACTTCTTGATGCAGAACCCTTGGGGACCTCAATGATCCGCCGCCGCCGACGCAAGTGGTTGTACAACATACGAAGTTGCGAAGTACGAATGATGTAGCCGGTCTCGTCAGCCTATCACATCGACCTACCCGGTAAATCATGTACCCCTGTCCTCGCCCATCTAGATTCTAGGGTATCTTAGAAAAGCCTCGAGTAAGGCAACTCTCAGGTAGTTGTAGAAAGACAACTCGAAGTCTTGAGAGGCTTATTGGGGTCTCAGGAACGCCTAATTATACGTTACAGAGGCATTTTCTACTACACCCAATTCATATTTTTGACGTCATACGCTAGCTCCTACCAATGAGGGTCATTTAGTTGCTTTATGAGGATGATGACAGAACCCGACTCGTTGGTACGGTAGCAGGATGGTTCAAGGTCTTAGCACACACCGATGCTCGATTCTTCAACTATCCAGGCTGACCCAACCAGCCAACCAGATCGTATAGGTACCGCGCCTCATTCGTGACCAAATCTGACATAAGTCTACGGTAGTACCGTCATAGGCCAACATCAAGTAAGAGAACGAGGGCAGGTATTGCCTAACCTGGATCTTACTCTCCAAGTTGGTGCCATCAACGAAAGCAGGCAGTTCAATAGGACAGATGCACTATTAAGATAACCTAAGCAGGTAGTGGAACGATGCTTACCCCAGACTTACAACGAATTGTTCATACCTCGTTTGGTTGCATCCTACTTCCTATTCGAAAATAAGGTGCGTCGTTAAGCTATTTGCCTCGATCCACCGGAACAGCCAATATCTCGCCTTATTTAGCAATTTGAATACTTAGGTACCGGTAAGTGGTGATGGAAGAACTCACATGCAGGTACCGATACCACCATTCAGATGATAGGAACTAAGAGGTCTAGACTTGAAAGCCCAATCCATTTGTTAGAGCTGCTATATATGACGATGGACGTTTTGTCTATTCGCAGCTGCCCCTTGTATGAATTTATTGTCGGACGACCCTACGCAGAGGAATTGGTTCGGGACAACGAGATGCGAGTCGCTTGCTTAAATCCACTCATCTCAACACTCGAAATATTATTCCTTTCGCGGAATAGAAGTTCCGAAAATTTGTCGCAAACTCCTCTTCCGCCGACAAGATTAGCTCTTGAATTTTAATAAAGGATTTCCGTGTCTTAACATGAGACCTTTAGCCGGCATTATAACTTATAAGGCTATGGTGTGAGGGCTTATTCTTCAATTATAGACTCATCTCTCATTTAGGTGCTGAGGCCTTAACATTGAAACACTCTAGCTACGTAGTGTCATAGAATATTTATCCGTAATATTCTATGCATGTGCTGAAGGAATTCAATGGCTCTATTGAACTTAGCTGAAACCCTCGTTAACTGCATTCCATTCGCCACCAAGATTTGGATACAGACTAATCCCTATTTCGTTCTAATTCAACTGCTTAGAACGACGCGAGTCTTCGAGGCGCGCTTGGCATCAGCCTCGCGTGAAATTCAAGGGGTCCAAGCCAGGGGTGAACCTCGAGACCAGGATAGGATCGTACCTCCGTAGAGGTACGTAAGGGTTGAGACGGTCCCTGTATCAAGGAGCTCCCTCAGCCTTATGCCCTGTCGCCAGGAACGTTTTCGTTTTATGTTTGTCTTCTTTCTCCTCTATTATAGAAGATCATCGTTCGTTTCTTTCTCCCTGTTTACTTACGTAGATTAACGCGGTGTAACTATTGTAATTTGACTTCAGTAATTTTATTCTTACATTAACGTCATTGTTTTTATTTACCTTTATTCATTCTGTCTTGTTCTAGGCGAAAGGCGTCGAATTTCAAGATGTTTGCAAGTTTGACTACGAAACTGGCGATGAAGAAGGCCGGCTTGTCAAGCGACGCTCTCGACTTCTCTTCGTCCAAATCTGGTAAATCCAATGATGGCTCCGTGCCTGGCCTCGACGATTTAGAAGAGTCCAACTCAGGGTGGCCAGCATGGATGACCACTAAGAAGCTTCCTCTTACAGCACAGGCCTGGCTGTCGCCTGTGCCACCACCAGTTCCTATCGCCGAATGTCCCAAACCCGGGGATCTGGCACCCCTAGACCGAGATCGCCAGCTTACCTTCGGCGGTGGAAAGCCGGTCATCGTTCTTTTCCTGCGCTGCGTAGGATGCGCTTGTATGGCTTGCCCCCCCCCCCCAACCGCCGCAACGTCGCAGCCCATCACGTATCACTAACTAAAAATTGAATTTCGCAGTCGCACAGAAATCCTTCCTAGCCCTCCGAGACCTCGCAATCAAAAACCAAGGCAGACTCACCTGCATTGCCGTGTCACATTCCTCACGAGAGGCCACGCGGAAATGGGTCGACATCCTGGGCGGCGCGTGGAACCTCGAGATAGTCATCGACGAAGACCGCGCCATCTACGCCGCGTGGGGCCTCGGCCTCAGCACCGTCTGGTCCATGTTCAACCCGACCACGCAGGTGCAGGGCTGGAAGGAGAAGGGCTGGCTGGGCATAAAAGTGGCCAATTCCCTCCAGCGAACCGGGACTCTCAGACAGGACGCCGCCGCGCCTACAAATGGCGGCACTCACAACGGTGCGGGGAGTACGGGAGGGGCGCCAGAAGACCTGAGCGAGGGACCGTCGACGGTCATGGGAAATAAGTGGCAGCAGGCTGGCATGTTCGCTGTTGATGGCAGAGGCACGGTGGTGTGGGCTGCGAAGGCGCTTCGCGCGGACGATGTGATGGATTTGAACGCTGCCGCTGCGGCGGTCGGTTTTTGATATGCGACCCTGGATGGTTGTTATGTAATGAATGACATGTATAATGATGTATGTTGAATATCAGTGGGATAAACAGTAGCCCGATCGTTTAAAAGGGTATGCTTTCTTGGTTTCGAGTTCATGAAATGAATGCCCAGGTGCTAGGCCTTTACCGTCTAGCTTCCATACAATATAAAGGATTCCGCAATTCAGTTGGAGCGATGCCGAGACCTGTTTATTGTGGGTGCTTATGTTATAGTGTGTATAAACGAGGACATGATGGATTACCCATTCTCTATTCGGGTATACATCTGTAGCTAATGGTTCCATTGTCCAATGAATCAATGTACATTAGGGAGGCATTTCGTCAAGTCTTGAGGTAAGACAGCAACGGCTTGAGTCCCGAGCGATGGCCAGAGATCCTTAATCGTATGCCAACCCCCAATTACCTGACCTCCAAGGCGACCTGAATGAGCGTAGGGAGAATGAGGAAACTTGAAAACAATTGCAGTACTAAGCCTCGCCGAATACACCTCGCCTATTCGATATCGGAAGCGTTATTTATAGCTACGTGATAACTGTAGAGGTTGATTGTCTTACCTCTGGCATCATTTCCACGTGTCTGTCTATCTACGAAAACCAGAAAGCTTGCCATATGCACGAAACCAATATAAAACACATTATCAAAATCGAGACAAGAATTCACCTGCCTTATCCCGCAATTATGTTCCTATACTGATTCATATTTTATCTTGCTTGATACGATGTATACTCCAGTTACGCAGATAAAAACATTGGCAATACGGTAAAGGGGGGCTCTTCGTGAAATACGAGCTAATCTACTTAGCCACTGCCTAATTCCATCTAGCCTGTATATTAAAGGACTAATACAGACCTGGGCAGCGAGATAACACGATCTATAGGCAAGTTTCCGTGCAACCTTCCAACTCTGTCCAAACTCTCCTGTGTCTTGAGAAATACGAAGACTCTCAGCATAGAATCTTCTTCAATGACTAGGTATATCTGTGAGACTGTGTAAAAGGATGTGTACTTGAAAGAGTTGAATAATAAAAAGGGGCTTAGTATGTAGATATCAAAGAACTCATATTAAAAAGGATAACTGGTGATGATGCGTGAAAAAAAAGGGGTTAGGAAAAATCATATTACTTATACTCCGAGACAGCAGATCACGACAAGTATAAAGAGTTTCACTTATGCTAACCCCCTTAACGAGCGCTTCTATTGATCGAGGTACAGTTGTTCAGTCACTCATACATGTGTCACTTCATAATCTGAGAAGTAAGCAAGAAAGGCTCTGTTCCTTCCTTCTCGCTCATAGGGTTAAAGCGGTTGGACATAACATCTCCAACCTCCCTCCGAAGTACTACCGTACAAAGCTCCTGCCATCCCAAACATTATAGGGACGGCGAAGTATCATCTGTTCATCGAAGAGGCTGAGGTAGAATAGCATCCTATAGCTCAGTTGGATAGAGCATCATATTCATAAGTGAAGGTGGAGAGTTCGAATCTCTCTGGGATCATTTCCTTTTTTTTTCTTTCCCCTATGTCTTTTTACTGTTACTTCGGAGTGAATATATATATATATCAAGAGCCGATAGTCTGTGACTTTTTCGGATGACTCCTATCCATTATGTCTATCAAGATATTTTATCAACCCTAGCCCAACAATCTTCTCGTATGACCACAGTCATCAAAAAGGTCTGGTCCATTATAGGTGCGTAGCAGGGGGTAAAGGATACAAGTGAGATGTGAGAGATCAAGTTGAAAGTTTCTGTAGGTATATGGTGGTCTGATCCAGTGAGGTTTACAGTTCCTTACACTTTAACGCCGTTACTTCCTGCACCAAAAGGTCCATATCGTGATAATGACCGCCTCCATCAAGTTTTCGTTTTCATGGATAACCCTGTCTGGCTCAGCGGACAGCTAGAACAATCGCATTTCCATCTTAGAAGTCTAGGTGTCAACCAAAAGCAGCCTACCCAGCAAACCTACTCACAACGTTGGATCTACACTCTGGCAGCACAACTCCAACAAATCGACTAGATAATAAAGATTAGATACAAGGCAACTGCAGTTGGGAAACTAGCCAATACATAGATCCCAAGTAGACTTTGTAGCATCTCGTAAGACATGCTCCCTTGAGTGAAGCCTCTACTTACAAGACCATCACTCCAAACTATTTCAACACCACCTCAAGAATATAAGTTGATGTGGTTTGTGGAAACCAACCGTATTCCCCCATTCGCAACCACAAAGTCAAGCGCTTTAGTCTTTAAGGCCGAGTAGGTCTTTCATTCTTACCATTCACATCTCTCCCACCTCTACAATGATTAATTATCCATCCGATCACGCCACGAGAACACGAATATCACGCAGGGAAACCCCATTGAGAGGGGCGAAGAGAAGAGGGTTACAATGCTAGAAATTTGCCAATGTGCCTTTTGCTGCCTGTTGCGATGCCGAATCGATGTGCCAAACTCCCTGATGCGGACGTGACTCAAAAGCCCCCCTCCCCCCCCTAATGCTCACACACACCGTGGGATGGAAAAGAGAAGAAAAGGGAAAAAGCGCCTTCTCTACGCACAACCGTCTTCCATTAACCGGCCTTTTAATTCAAGGAGATAACACCGCCCCGTGCCGGCCCTAGAAAACACCCCTTTGCTGGATGACTAAAAACCCCTTCATCCGTATGTAGTATGTAATCCGACTTATACCTCCTCTTTGGTTACCGTTAGACCCCAAAATGAAAAAAAAAAAAAAAAAAAAACTGATTGACCGAAGGCTCTGGCTCATTAAACTCCACTCCAATACAAGTCAATATAACCTGCAACTCGCCCTGTTGACTGATTGGCCACCGATCCTTTCGTGTAGGAACATGATAATCCCCAAATGTGACTCGTTCCAGCGCCGAGTTTACCATTCCATCAGTGTCGACTGATATATCGACTGAAGCATTTTTGGTTGTCGAATAAGTGACATGGGGGTGGCATCGAAAGAGGGAACCAGAGAATCGCTGGGAGACCAATCTTCAGACCCCTTCTCAACAAGTCGAGTTGGGGAACAATCCGTACAGGGTCTGTGAAGGTACGCAGTCTCGGAGAGGGTAGATGAAGACAGAAGACAGACTTCAATCAGTAAACACGAACCACCCCTTATGCCCTTTAACCTTGTATCCTTGCCGTACCATTGCCAAAAGAAATTCCCTGTCCGCTTTTCGTAGTACTTCCGCCCGGCCGAACCTTTGCAGGTACCAGTGGAAGAATAAGACCTCTTATATATCGTTCTCGCGTAGGTGTCGTATGGTGTCAAGTAGAAGTGAGGTGACTAGATGCCTGGGAATAAGATAAATGGTCGAAAAAGGTATCGTAGGCCGAAAAGGAAAAAGAGGAAAAAAAAAAAAAGGCAGAAACGCAATGAACTCCCAACAAAAATGTTTTCCACCCCTGTTTTGCCAAATCTTTGTTTCCATGTCGTCAAAGGCCTGAACACCCATGCTCATGCTGGATAAACGCGTATCCCTCGTCTGTGCCCAACCATCCTGAACACCAGTTTTTGTGCTGATTCAATCATAATACTTCCCCAGCGCCTTTCCAGCATCGGTCCCCCATTAATATTTCGCAAGATGACTCAGGGTGTCATAGCGCTACTTCGGTTTCTAGCCCCAGACGCTCGCCTGAACTCCTAAGCTTGACTTGTTTCCCCAGACGCCTGAACGATTGCCCCATCCGTTATATCCATCTGCTGCAGCGCTAGGAGGGTTCGAAGGCGCGCCGGTAGTCGAGACGCCCTGATTAGAATCCTCACCATTACCCGAAGCAGAGAAGCCGTGGCTCAGGGGTGACGGCAGGGGAGTAGTTGAGCGCTTATTTAGAGCTGGGTTTGGCGCCTGCGAAACAGCCGATGGACGCGTTCCGATAGGGGCTACTGCACTGCCTATTTGGGTTGACTTCGAGCCTCCAGCTCGCGGGGGCGAGCCACCTGTCGGGGACGAGTTGCTTGTGCGACTAGCCTGCTGACCGACAGCACTGTCAAAAATGCCAATATTAGTCTGTGGGTTCGACTGAGGACTAGCGTTGCTGTTAGCACGCGATAGGCCCTGCGTCTCGTTGGAGGTGCCTTCAGGGGCGTTGGGCGCATTGGATCGTCCAAAGTCATAGGCCATAGGGGAAGGACCACGATGGCCCGAAGTACCGGGGACTCCCACTCCGGCTCGACCAACGTTCGATTCATCAGAATAGCCAGCTTCGCCGAACAGTGCGCTACGCTGACGGGCGATAAGGTCACGGCGTTCGTCTTCTGACATGCTGCCGGGACTCAGAGCACGATCAGGCTTGCTGGTGAATGACAGATCACCAAGGACATCTGTAGAGATGGAATGTTAGCGTCTCTTCTGGAGAATATGACGATGAGGTGATTCGAAGATATCGCAACATGTTGAACAGGGATTTACGGGAAGTCAAGAGTGAGACATGATGCAAACATCGTGTCAAGCCAAGGGGGAGAGACATAGAACATGTTGACTCCGCCGAGTGAATTTCTTTTGAATTGCGATGCAAATCTTTGTGTGCTATACAGAAGAGGGAGGCCTACTTCGGTTATATTGCTGCTCTTGATGATAGTTGCGTAGATCACGCTCCCGTTGAGCCGCCATCCTCCGCTTGGCCTGCATCATCTGCTCCGCCTCGTTGGAGCCGCGCGAAGGTTGGTGTCGTTGCGCAGCATAGAAGTTCTGCAGGTTGGGACCAGAATGGCCAGCGCGCGGGTCGCCGAACTCCAAGGAATGCGGTCGCTGCCCATGCCCAGATGCAACTCGACCATCTACATACCAATTAGCACCTCTCTTTGAAAAGCTCCCCCGAATTTCCGAGCACTCTTTGTACCTAGGTACGCCTTCTCCCCTTTTCGAACCGTGGTTGGAGTAAACTCACGTCGACCCTGCTGACCATACATCTTCCCACTCTTTACCAGATTATCAATCGCTCGTTCAACCTCTGTGAAATTATGTCGTTAGTATCAAAACGTAATAAGGTTGTGTGTGTGTATCGTATCGTCATGCGCAATCATTGTCTCGATCGGTATCTACGACCTAGGTCTGTTTCAAAGGCGTCGGTCGCGAGATAACATATTGGATCTTTGCATTTCTGAGATTGTCTCCCCGTCGCGGAATTACGTACCATCAAATTGGTAGGAGAAAGCGATCGATTCAACCTGAGGCGGGTTCGTAGAGTTGGTGCCTTTATATAGTAGTTAGTCATCATGATACTCAACAATTTTTGTGGCATTGACGATATTCTTACCAGATCGCGCCGGAGGCGGGGGAGGAGTCTGATGATCCCATGTTGACTGCGAAGGACCTGCGCCGGGCCATTGTGAATCTCCATAGTACTGCTGCGACATGTTGTCTCGGCGAATGAGTCGGTGCGATAGAGAGATGTTATCCGTGCCCTGGCTAGCCTATTCACGGCTTATGGAGAAGTGCGAAATAATAGAACTGTTAATTCTACAGGGTATTTAGAGTCAGCCTCGTCATGACCTAGCCTGATGGTCAATGGAATAGGTAGTGGTAGTGGAATGAGTGGCGACGAGGAGAAGTAGCAGTAGTAGTAGTAGTAGTCAAGTGATATGATATGATGATTAATGCTTTGTGTAGGAAGAATAATATCCGAAACGTGAGGGTATCGTTTCTTATTCATTCATATACGCTATTCCCATCGTCGAAGAACTATTTTGGGAGAGTATAACGGTATGAAGGAAGACGGGAACTTGGCGCCAACGATGACATTTCAACCGAATGTAAAATTTAAAAAATTAAATTTTTAACTTTCGGCCTCGGTTGCTTTGTGGTCGCTTCCATTTCATGCACCGAGCGCGTCGATGTAGAGACGCTTCCACATAAGTTGCCGCGCAAGAGGGGGCGGGAAAAAAAGACAGCGATATAACAAAAACAAAACAAAAAAAATTTGTTATTTTTTAAAAAGAATCAAATAAATCGGATGGAATTAGAAAAAAAAAAAAGAAATGTCTCTCGTTCTGCGACTTACCGGAATTATTTAGTCCAGGTTCCTTATTTTTTCTTATTCTCCTTCTTCTGAGCGAGAACTGTTCTGTTCGTTCTTGGGCAACGGAATATTCGCCAAGTTCTATGAGGGAGAGAGATGATAGGAAAAAAAAAGAAAAGGCTACACCACACACAATTGCGCAGAAAAGGAGGCGGCAACGGTAACGGGAAATGGCTACCTTCAAGTAATATGAGAAATTATCGGGTCAAATGGGGGAATGGGGGGTAAGGTGGTTAGGTACCTATACCTGTTTTATGTATGGCTCAATGTATTGTACAATATCTACATGCAACCTATACCTTGAATAGGTACCTAACCTACTTCGTCCGTGAAGGAGGTAATACCTTCCCAGTACGGCCATGTTACCTTCTACACCCGCTATTACACGCTATTACACGCTTGCCAAGTAAGTATCCGTAAGTACGGCGCACGGCAAGTATGAAGTCTCGGTACCTAGGGAC